CGACACGGTGGAAGAGCCCGTCTCTACTAAAAAAGTACAAAAAACTAGCCGGGTGAGGTGGCGCGGCCTGTAGTCCCAGCTACTCCGGAGCTGAGGCAGGAGAAGTGCGTAAACCTGGCAGGGGAGCTTGCAGTGAGCTGAGATCCTGGCCACTGCACTCCAGCCTGGCGACAGAGCGAGACTCCCCTCAAAAAAAAAAAAAAAAAAAAAAAAAATTAAAAAAGAATTAGCTGGGCCTGGTGGCATACACCTGTAGTTTCAGCTATTTGGGAAGCTAGGTGGAGGATCGCTTGAGTCCCAGTAGTTGGAGGCTGCAGAGAGCCATGATTGCGCCACTGCCCTCCAGCCTGGGCAACCAGAGTCAGACCCTTTCTCCAAAAAACAAAAACCATGGCCGCTGCAGTGGTTCATCGCCTATAATCCTAGCACTTGTGGGACCTAGACGGTGGATACACCTGAGGTCAGGAGTGCCAAGACCGCCTGAGAAAACGGTGAGACCCTGTCTGTACTAAAAATACAAAAGTTTAGCTGGTGTGCTGGTGTGCAGTGGCTCACGCCTGTTAATCCCAGCACTTTGGAAGGCGAGGCAGGCGGATCACGAGGTCAGGAGATCAAGACCATCCTGGCTAACATGGTAAGACCCTTCTCTACTAAAAATACAAAAAAAAAAAAAATTAGCTGGGCATGGTGGCACGTGCCCTGTAATCCCAGCTACTCGGGAGGCTGAGGCAGGAGAATGGCGTGAACCTGGGAGACGGAGCTTGCCGTGAGCAGAGATTGTGCCACTGCACTACAGCCTGGGCAATAGAGCGAGACTCCGTCTCAAAAAAAAGTCGGATGTGATGGCAGGCACCTATAATCCCAGCTACTCCAGAGGTTGAGGCAGAAGAATCACCTTGCTTGAACCCCGGGGACAGAGGTTGCAATGAGCCGAGATCATACCACTGCACTCCAGCCTTGGCAACAGAGTGAAACTCCATCTCAAAAAAACACAAAAAAGACTGTCATCAAGAGGCATCTTCCTTCTGCCCACCCGTTTCCTTCCTCTCCCACAAGTCTGCCTGTCCCTGCTCAGCCAAGCCCAGACAGGGCTCCAGATCTGGGGAAGGAGAGAGCTATGGGATGTGCCTTGGTTGCTGGCTGAACCCACCTTCTTTAATTTCCCTCCCACTTGCAAAAGCTGAAGAAGCCAAAGAAAAACGAGAGCAGTATTCCTTTCCACAAGCCCACACCGTCAAGCCTGGATGAGCTCCTGGGCCTGTAGCTACTTGCAAGGCTATTTTACCAGTGACCCTCAGAGGCCCATCTTCGTCCTACTCTCCCCTCCCCTCCTCTCACTGAAACCTCAGGTCCCCAGTGATGAGGAGCTCATCTCTAAAGACTCGGAGGGGCTGATCCTGGATGTTAGAAAGCTAGGTACTACTCCAAACCTCAGGACCCATTAAATCTCAGGGCTTCCTGGGACTCAGATCCTGCACCGACACAATTCACCTCCAGAAGAGTTCCTGGCACATAATGGAGACTTGATGAATAATTGGCGATTGAAAGCTCCAGACATGAGCTGCTCTTTATTAGTCTGTTTTGAGGCCCCGCCTGAAAACCTGAAAGCAGGCTTTGACTTTAGGCTTCACTCAGGACTGATTCCCAGTGAAGTCACTTAACTCATGTGTTGAACACCTGCCATGTAACATGTGCAGAATGAAAGCTACATGACCTTTCTTTTTTCCTTCTTTTTTTTTTTTTTCTGAGATGGAGTCTCACTCTGTTGCCTAGGCTGGAGTGCAGTGGTGCAATCTCGCCTCATTGCAACCTCTGCCTCCCAGGTTCAAGTGATTCTCCTGTCTTAGCCTCCCAAGTAGCTGGGATTATAGGCACATGCCACCACACCCAGCAAATTTTTTGTATTTTTAATAGAAACGGGATTTCACCATGTGAAAAAGATGTTTTAAGAGATAAGGTCTTGCTATGTTGCCCAGGCTGTTCTCAAACTCCTGAGCTCGAGCTCCCACCTCAGTCTCCCAAAGTGCTGGGATTATAGGCATGAGTCACTGCGCCCGGCCTTGCTGTTGCTTTTGTGAAACAACCCTGCTTTTTCCTGGGGAGCCATCTCTGCACCTTCATGTGGCCTGGCTACTCCGAGAGGGGACCTGAGGCTTCCGGGTCTCCTTTCTTGTTGTCTCCCTCACCCTCCAACCTCCCTCCAAATTGCCACAGCCTCCCTCCAGGTCATTATTCCCACAGTGCCAGGCCAAACCCCTTACCCAGCTCCTAGGCTGCGGCCTTCACCCAGCCCTGCCATGAGCATGGTCCCTGTAGAGCCCCCTGGAGGTGTAGTTTCAGCTCTTGGTGAGGCACCGGCAGCGGGGCTGGAGTACCTTCACAGCGGGTGGATGCGTCTCCCACAGCCTGCATGTGCGTCTGCAGACACATAACCCTCCACAGCCAAGCCCATGGCAAAGCCTTACAGCGCCAGAGAGGCAGGGCGGTGGGCTTCCCCTGGGAGCTGGCAGTTTCCAGCAAGGCCTCCTTCGCTGAGCGTTGGACAAGCCCCGTAATCCACCCTAAATACCTTTCTTGTAGGACTGCTAAGGACAGCAGCTGGCGGGAGTGGGTCCTGGGTGAATGGCAGCTGTTACTGTCCTTATAAGGAAAGGTGGAGTTACAAACGGGCATTTAGGCCCCTAGAAGGGGGTGGGACCCAGAGCAGAAACCTGCTGACCACTGTGCTTCCCCCCAAATAGACCCACAGGTGACCCCCACTGGGATTTAGGCTCTCACCTTAGGGGTCTCTCCCTGACCCACCCAAACTCCTCTCATCCCCTCCTGCCATCCACAAACACACTCCACACTGACTCAGAACTATCTGATATTTATTTCCCAATATTTTGATAATTTTTTTTACAAATGGAATACATGGAATGAAGGGGAATGAAGGGGCTTATATGGGACCCCAGGTAAGAATGAGGTTGGGACTCTCTGAGGGTCTGGGGTTCCCCCCCTAGAGGGGACTTTGGGCATCCAGTTTCAGGGACTGAGCCGGGTTGGGTCGAGGGGCAGCGTGGCATCGGACATGGTGCCGTCTGTGCCTCTCCTGCCTGCGGGACAGCTGGCGCAGCTGTTTCCGAACAGCCCACAGCACCAGGTACACCTCCCACAGCATCTCAGCCTCTGGCGTCTTCATAGGTGACTGAGTCCTCACTTGGGAGCTGACTGAGGCAGAACTCACTGATGACTGTAAGAGAAAGAGAAGATGTACACATGTAAATAGGTGGGTCTAGGGAGAAATTGCCGTTAGAATGACTCATAGATAAACAGCAAAGAGCTCCCTGATGCCACCTCTCCCATCAGGCCAGCTCAGACATTACTTCTTCCAGGAAGCCTTCTCAGATTGCATTAGACATTTGTCATCTCTATCCGTTTTTTTTTTTTTTTAATGAGATGCGGTCTTGCTATGTCACCCAGGCTGGTCTCGAACTCCTGGGCTCAAGCGATCTTCCTTCCTTGGCTTTCCAAAGTGTTGGGATTACAGGCATGAACCATCACACCTGGCCCATCATTTCTATTCTTTTTGTTTTTTGAGATGGAGTCTTGCTCTATCACCCAGGCTGGAGTATAGGGGCATGATCTCAGCTCACTGCATCCTCCACCTCCTGGGTTTAAACGATTCTCCTGCCTCAGCCTCCCAAGTAGCTGGATTGCAGGTGCCCACCACCACGCCCAGCTAATTTTTGTATTTTTAGTAGAGACAGGGTTTCACCATGTTGGCCAGGCTGGTCTCGAACTTCTGACCTCAAGTGATCAGCCCGCCTCAGCTTCCCAAAGTGCTGGGATTAAGGAAGAGATTTTATAGTCTCTATGTCTTGTTTTGTATTGTATTTCTGTAGAGGATGGAGTACATACTCCAATCTTCAGAATACCGACATGAATTCAAGCAGCTAGAATGCCTATATCGAGAGGGTGACCAGGTAAAGTTTATTTAGCTCAGAGCATCAACTCGCTACACGTCCTCCTGGTCACGCCATTTCATCAACTGCATCAGCCTCATCAAGAGCCACCTAAGGTCAAACATCTGCCATCTCGCGAATAGACACTAATGCAAGTTATTTGTTTGCATTTTATCTCTTTAGATAGAGACACGGGTTGATACCCTGTTGGAGTGTTTTCTAGTGCGGTCTCTAATCTTTCCCTGAGCGCATGCAGCCGCCACAGCGCCAAAGTACTGGAACCTCCAGGTTGGTGGCCGCCCAACCCGCAGCGGGAGTCTGGGCTATGGTGGTTTCCATATCTCTATCTCTCTTCTTAAGGACAGAGGAATGCGCCTTCTGGCTGTGCCCAGGCTAGAGGCAAGTGCATG